GGAGAAGAGGAGGAGAGAAATGAGGAGTGGAAAGAGGAGAGAGGAGAAGGAGAGAGGAAGGGGAAGGAGAGAAGGACGACAGAGGGAAGAAAGGAGGTAGGGAGGGCGAGGAGAGAGGGAGAAGAAAGTGATGGATAAGGTACAAATATGGTGTTTGGGGAGCAGAAGAGCCAAGAATTGTTTTTGGGAGTTGATGGCAAGACGAATTGATGTAAACATTTAATAACACAATATGATGTTGGCTATAGTAATAGTATACATATGATTATATGTTATGAAGATGGGGAAAAAAGATTCTTCCCTTAGAAGAGAGGGATAGGAGAGAGGGCAAGGGGGGAGAAGAGGAGGAGAGAAATGAGGAGTGGAAAGAGGAGAGAGGAGAAGGAGAGAGGAAGGGGAAGGAGAGAAGGACGACAGAGGGAAGAAAGGAGGTAGGGAGGGCGAGGAGAGAGGGAGAAGAAAGTGATGGATAAGGTACAAATATGGTGTTTGGGGAGCAGAAGAGCCAAGAATTGTTTTTGGGAGTTGATGGCAAGATGAATTAATGTAAACATTTAATAACACAATAGGATGTTGGCTATGTAATGGTATACATGTGGTTATATGTTGTGAAAATGGAAAAAGATGCTTCCCTTAACAAATGTGGCCGGGAAGGTCGTAAAGTGGATCAAAGCTCTCTTGAACCAACGTCTCCGCTTAGCAACAGACACCCAGGGCCCCGCTGCGGTCGTAAACCGAGGACTCCCCGCACGGATGCAGAGCAGCAAGCGCTTGCCCGCCTCCCGAGGGAGACAAAGGGTTAAGTGGGCGCGGCCGAGGGAAGGCTTGACCTTCTGCAACCCGATCGTCGCATGCATGGCCAGCGCCGTGCCGGGGGCGCCCGCGAGCACCTCGTGACTTGGCAAGCCTCTTTGCAACGCCCCGGGACCCTCGGCAATTGGGCCCGAGCCTCGGCGAGGAGGGGGCGTCCCGACCGGGCACTTTTCCCCCCAACCCCCACCCGCTCCACCGCCTGTTGTTCCGCCTTGCAAGTCCGCTTCCTTGCGCCTCCCCAGCCTGCAACAGCCACCGCCCCCTCCCCACGGCTGCGGGGCTCGCCTTGAGCTCGGTTGGGCGGTGAGTGGGACCCCGCAAAAGGGTCTGGGGTGGGGGGGGGCGCGGAAGGGGAAAATGAGGCTCGGAGCCCCGGCGTTGCAAAGGGAGGGCTGGAGCTTGGGCGAAGCAGCTGGGGAGTGAGCACCACCCAGCGATCTCGTTTTAAATGCATCGTATATTTTTTTAAGTGGGGGGAGGGACTTTTTTAAAATTCCCACGTCACAAAAAAAATAGAGGAAGAAACGTGTGTTTCAAGCTAGCTCAAGGTATTCAGTTATTACAGGGGGTTGCAAAATCCTTTTTTCTTTCTACTACTATATTAAAAGTTTGTGGCTCCAAGTTTCTAAAGTTAAACACATCCAATTTTAGACTTATTTTTTAAAAGGTTTTTAGTAGGTCAACATTAACAACCTGTGACATTTCTGGCCTAGTCATTTCCATAGATCTTACAACAATAACAGTTTGTATCCATTAATTAGGTATGGATAGTCAGTCAAATTACCTATCCATTAATCCCTTTCGTTATATAATTACGATCAGTACATATACGCATCCAGTTCCTACCTATTATACAATATTAATACCATGTTTCCAATTGTTAACTTATCTGTGTTTTTCTGGCCCAACCTTTTTTGGTGGCTAAGACACTGAGCTTGTCGATCAGAAAGGTCGGCAGTTCGGCGGTTCGAATCCCTAGTACAGATCTCCTGCGTGAGTAGGGGGTTGGACTAGATGACCTCCAAGGTCCCTTCCAGCTCTGTTACTGTTTACTGAAATCCCTGGTCATGACCAGTGAGTAAAATCTGGGGTGGTTTTTAGAGCAGTTTTCTAAAGTTGGCAACTTTGAAATGAGTGGATTTTAAACTCCCAGAATCCCCCAGCCAGCATGTATGAACCAACTCCCAGAATTCCCTAGCCAAAATGGATGGACTTCAACTCCCACAATTCCCCAGCCAACATGGGTGGCCTTCAATTCCCAGAATTCCCCTAGCCAACACATATAGAATAGAACAGAATAGTTTATTGGCCAAGTGTGATCAGACACACAAGGAATTTGTCCAGTGGCAAAATTCAATTTTTTTTACTACCTGTTCTGTGGATGTGGCTTGGTGGGTGTGGTGTGGCTTGGTGGGCGTGGCAGGGGAAGGATACTGCAAAATCCCTATTCCCACCCCACTTTGGGGCCAGCCGGAGGTGGCATTTCCTCTACTGGTTCTCCAAACTACTCAAAATTTCTGCTCCTGGTTCTCCAGAACCTTCTGGATTTCACCCCTGATTCTGTCTTATCCTTGTCTTTGACCTCTAGAGTGAGTCTGTCCATTTCTGTGCGTGTTAGTATCTTATTTATTATTTCCGAGGAAGTCTCTTTAACCTTTCCATTTTTGTGCGGTCAATCTTGCTGCTGTTAAAATATGCAACATTAAATATAATCCACCTTTGCTATATTTCTCTTTTATGATCCCTAATAAAAATAGTTTTGGCCTCAACTCGATCATTTGATTTAATATCTTTTCCAAACACATTCTTATCTGGTGCTAAAAGGCCCTAACTTTCGGGCACTCCCATCACATATGGTAAAAGTGGGCACCACCCAGTGATGTCATATCCAATTTTAGACATATTAACAGCAGCTAGAATTGTGTTGGCACACAACAGTGGGAAAAACGAAGAGATCCCTACAGAGGAAAATGTAATAATAATAATAATAATAATAATAATAATAATAAATATTAGAATGTGAAGAAATGGATAGATGAACACTAAAAATTAAGGAGAAGGAAGAAACTGCTTTTTAACGTGGGATTGGTCTTATCAATGGCTAACTAGCAGTAGTTATAAACTTAAAAGCATAGGAGAGTGATTAATTACAGAAGGAAGGTTCGCTAAAATGGATAAGCAAATATTATTAATAATAGGTGATCATTATGAATGTTATGAATATGATGATGATTACTTCTTAACACTAATTATACCCAGACAACATGCTGTTTATGTAGACATTGAATGTTTTATGTTTAAGGAAAAAATATTGAAAACTTAAAAGAATCAGCTGGGGAGTGGGCACCACCCAGCAATCCCCCTCTTTCCCATTCCAGGGCACCAAACCGGAACCCATCCCTGCCTTTAATCTGAAACCCAGAAGAGGTTTTAGCCAGACGAGGAGTCGGCTTCGTGATCTTGGGAAGCCTGTCAGAACAAGTTTGCAGACGATACAGCCGCCATTGGTCTCATTCAAGACGATGAGGAGAGTCTGTTTTCTCCAATGAGACAAACTGAAGATCATTTTATTACAATTTATCAGAATATTCAGCCCACAGGGAATCCTCCCCTTCAAAGAAGGAAGCCCGATCTTTGGCTTACGTCCCCTTTTAATAGTGTACATAAGCAAGAAATCTGATCGGACAGGATAATCGCATGCGTGTTTATTAAAATGAGCTCTGAAGGGGAATAAACTGCGAGGAGAAAAGTTGTTTAGTTTTCACAAAAGAGATAAGCCAGACCTCAGGTTGTCCTAACAAACTTTCCGTATCTGGATCTAGTCTCCAGCTTCCAGGGTTTCAGAAGATGTTGAGATAACCCTTTGTCTGAAGGGGTGTAGGGTTTTCTGCCTAAGCAGGGGTTGGACTAGAAGACCTCCAAGGTCCCTTCCAACTCTGTTATTCTATTCTATTCCAGATTCTCTTCCAGATTCCATTCTGTTCAATTTTGTTGTATTTAAGCACAATAACAATAAAGATTATACTTATACTTATTCCAGATTCTATTCCAGTTTCTATTCTATTTTCTATTCTATTCCATTCTGTTGTATTTAAGCACAATAACAATAAAGATTATACTTATACTTATTCCAGATTCTA